ATTCTGTCTTTCATATGCACACCCAAAATACAGGGGGGGAAATGAGTTCAAAAATACAGGAAAAAAGTTGGTTGACGAAACTCACTGGAGTTGATTTTCGTTTTGTTCACAACTTCATCCAAACATACTGAAGCACCGTGGTAGTCTCTCTTGAAAATCTACTATTCACAGTGTCTTCACATAATATTCCATGCCATGATTTCAAATACTGGAATGTATCCTCATCCATTTTACTGGAGAATCTTTTCCTGGGCATGCAAATTTGATAGAGGCTAAGTTAATCATAGATTTGCGATGACCAGTTATAATGGAAGTGGAGGCCTAGATATTTAAAATGCTTAACCTGCTCAATTTATTTTCTGTCAAATGTCCATTTTTGAATTTTACAGGACTTAGCAAATACTAAAATCTTGGATTTCTCATAATTCAGAAGTAATTTATTCTCAATAAAATAACTAAGACATCTGTTCAGCAGATGTCTGAGCCCTACCCTCATGCAAGAGAGTAGTACTGTATCATCCGCATATAGCAGGATAGGTATACGAAGGGTTCCCAATTTAGGAGAATTGTTCTTTATCTTCTATCTTGTTCTCTCTTTGCAGTTTTATTGATAACTATGTTTGATGTTCCATGATGATCTTAACACAAAGTTTAGTATTAAAAATGCAGGAATCCACACAGTAACTGTGTACCTTAGGCAGTGTTTTTATTCCCATGTTGCAGATGGGAGGCTGAGGCCAAGAGATGTGTGATGTTCTATGTGAGTTCATAACCCTTCAGGAAATTCATGTCTAAGATAAGGTTTAAAGTGTTGAAGACCCACACCATAACCAGTGTTCCCTCTAAGCTAAGTTAGTGTGAGCTAGCTCACAGTTTTTTAGCCTCCAGCTCACACATTTTTGTCTTAGCTCAGGATGGATGACTCCAAAGCAAACGAATGGATTCAGTAGCCAAATCATTCGCTCACAACTTTAATGTCAGTAGCTCACAAAGTAGAATTTTTGCTCACAAGATTCCACAGCTTAGAGGGAACATTGATCCATAACTCCTATCATACCACTGCTTTACATTACACTGGCTCTGTAAAATGTATCTGCTTCATTACAGAAATAGGAGAAATCTTTGCCTGTGATATTGCTCAAAAAATAGGGATTTATTGCTTGAAATCTGGATTTCTGACATATATTGACAGCAGTTCTATTAGCACATTTTTTCATAGATCTAGCATCCGTTTACAACATATGGGACCTTTGATAAGACATCCTTAGTATCTTGATTAAAAATGTGATATGAATAGAAGGGTCATGAGTTAATTTTGTTTACCATCAGCGCATAGAAAATTGCATGAGGTTTTCAATAGAATCATGACCTTCATGGTGTTTCAATAATAATTGATGCTGAACACTTGTTTACTAAGCATTTTCTGTTTCAATTAAAGCTAAGTTACCAATGGGGAATTCAAGGTATACTGTCCCATACCTTGGTAGCCATTTTTTCTAATATGCCTACATGCCCCACAGAGAGTATTACACTCCATTGGTACCAACTTACTGGTAGTCCCTGGTCCCAAAATGATCTGGCTGTCCTTGAACAGGGCCTTTTCAGCCCTGGCCCCAGCCTGGTGGAACTCTCTCCCTAGTGAGATCTGGGCCCTGTGAGACTTGGCTCAGTTTCTCTAGGCCTGTAAGACTGAGATGTTCCAGTGGGCATATGGTTGAGGACAGCAATGGTTAGAGGAATCAGTGGCCTCCTGGGTTCCTATTTTTCCTCTCCCCTATGTTAAGATCGCCTGTGAGGGAATATGGATTGTATCCCAGCCACCCCACCTACCTTGTGGGACAAACATATGATACCATCTAATTTAACTGCTTATAGGTTTTTTATTATCATGTAGTTATTATTATGATTTTATGTATATTGTATGTTGTATGCTGCCCAGAGTCCTGCTCTCAGGAAATGGAGTGGGATAGAAATCAAAGAAACATAAATAACATAAACAAACGTAATAGGCAGGTTTTGCAATCCTGTCTTGGTTCTGAGCCATCTGCAGGATAACAATCAAGGTACCATCTTTCTTTGGTCAAATATTACATATTGTAATAATATCATATCATTTATTTTTAGCAAACACTGAAGAAGATTTTCCTTATTTTGCAAAATAAATTTTATTGCAAAATAAATTATAATTTGAATAAATAAGTGAATTTACTTTGCAAAATAAATTATAATGACTGAAAATGGAGTATGGGATTTGAGATTTAAATTATTAACATTTTGAAAGCTATGCTGAATTATTTTGCTGAACTGATTTTAAAAAAATGTATGGACTTAAAGTAGGGATAGATAACCAACAACACATGCATCAAACAGAAGCACACCAAAACAGTTTTCTTGGCACTCAGGACAATTCACTTATCCTTGCCTGATTGTTCCTTTAGGTGCAACAGGGAGATGTTTGATACAACACAGTTGGGCCCAGGGAAGAGCTAGAGCTCTCACAAGAGGCTTGGAACCAATGTTCCCTCTAAGCTGTGGAGTCTTGTGAGCAAAAGTTCTCCTTTGTGAGTTGCTGGCATTAAAGTTCTGAGTCAGTGATTTGGCTGCTGCATAAATTAGTTAGCTCTGGAGCCATCCTCCCTGAGCTAAGACAAAAAATGTGTGAGCCGGAGGCTAAAAAACTGTGAGCTAGTTTACACTAACTCAGCTTAGAGGGAACACTGCTTGGAACCCCCACTAAACATGCATGACTTGATCTATGCTGCATGAAAAGGCCAACTGCTCTTAATGGCAGAGGATGGGTAACAAGATAGCACTAAGCATGGGTAACAATGGCAGAGGATGGGTAACAAGAAAAAAGAGGAAGAGACAGTTGAACAACTCCCCTTTCCTTCTGTGTGAGGCATCCTGGAGTTGAGGCAGAAGCCAAGATTTGTTAACCCATGTGCTTCTACTTTTGCCTGCCAGCATCCTCTGCCATTAGGAGCAGTCAATCGCCATCCTTGACCACCTGCCCCCCCCCCTGCATTCCTATAGAAAGATGAAGAAAGGTTTGCTCTTCCCTGTTCTAAGCATGGGTAACAATGGCAGAGGATGGGTAGCAAGAAAAAAGAGGAAGAGACAGTTGAACAACTCCCCTTTTCTTCTGTGTGAGGCATCCTGGAGTTGAGGCAGAAGCCAAGATTTGTTAACCCATGTGCTTCTACTTTTGCCTGCCAGCATCCTCTGCCATTAGGAGCAGTCAATCGCCATCCTTGGCCACCCCCCCCCCTGCATTCCTATAGAAAGATGAAAGGTTTGCTCTTCCCTGTTATCTTTATGTACCATCCTGTGCCTGGACAATAATTAAGAAATGGTATCCTATATATATAAAAGGCGAGCAGTGCTGGCGATGACTCACCTACTCTCCCATTGACCACTTGGGAAGCTGCCTTGGTCCTATTGGCCTGTCCTGCCAGTTCCCCAGTTCTTACACCCCCGCTTTTGACACATTGTACCTTGGGAGTTATAGTTACTGCAACCATAGCAAAGGGAATTAGAACTACAGCTCCCAAGTTGAGAGTCCCAAGAGGCCGTGGGGCATTATCAGGGAGTCAGTTAAACTGTTAATCAGTTAAGGTGTTAAACAGGAAGCAGCTTTGGAATTGAAAGGGGCTCGGGAGAAAGGGAAGACCTGGACATCTCTCTGAGCCCGTGGAACATCAGCAGGGAGTCAGTTAAACTGTAAATCAGTTAAAGTGATAAATGGGAAGCAGCTTTGGAATTGAAAGGGGTTGGGGGGAAGGGAAGGCCTGGACATCTCTCTGAATTACAATAGATCCCCAGACTACAGAGATCAGTCCCCATGGAGAAAATGGTTGCTTTGGAGGGTGAACTCTATGGCATTATACATCACTGAAGTCCTTCAACAAACCTGGCCCTCCCCTAAGTATTGCCAACCTCCAGGCGACACCTGGAGATCTCCAAGATCAGTTGTCCTGGACAAAATGGCTGCTTTGGGCAGTGGACTCTATGGCATTATACCCTGCTGAGGTCCCTCCCCACCCCCAAACCCTGCCCTCCCCAGGCTCTACCCCTCAAATCTACAGGTATTTCCCATCCCAGAGTTGGCAGCCCTGTACATGGCTACACCAGCCACATACAGGACACTCACCTGGAGTCTTTTTCTAGAGACTGTTGTATTTCTTCCCACAACGGGCCTTACTCCTAGTGTAAATATAATGGAGAAAACAATAATCTTGTGTCTGTCTTTTCATGCATGTAGAACTGCACAAGTGGCCTCTTCTGCTTATGATTACTGAAATTGAACTTAATTATATCAAAGGTGTTTTCGAGGCCCTCATCTTATGTTGCCATATGCCAGGTTTAGGAAACTTCAAGTTTGCCCTTACAAACTAAAAATAGTTATTTTAAGAAATAAGATCCTGTACTTGGGATGAGGAATGATTAAACACAGGTCAGATTTACAGATCCATTAGGGAAAAAACCTGCCTGTAATCAGTATGTATTTAATACAGTGGCAACATCTTAAGCCAGGTTATACTTATGGTTTTGTCCTGATGTCTACTTAAAATTATTCTTAAGGTACCCCTTAGAAGTTTGTCTTAGGAGACTGAAAGCTAGTTTTCAAATGCAGGTACCAACTGACGCTACTCAAAAGAACATTTTGACTGACAAAACACCTTTATGTCTAATGCTTTTGCAATATATTTTTGGCATTGTCTTATGTTCTTTCATAATAAAATAACATTACATAAAACTTCTCAGTGTTTCAACTGCTATAATGGCTAATATTCTGTTTCTGTGCATATATGATGGAATAGATCAAAATGGGTAGCCATGTTAGTCTGTCTGTAGCAGTAGAAAAGAGCAAGAGTCCAGTAGCACCTTAAATTTGTGGTTGGGTATGAGCTTTTGTGATTCACTGCTCACTTCTTCAGATAATTTTCATGCTGGTATACTCATTCTGACATTAAATATTGGGCTCTTCCCCTTTCTTGCAGAATTTCCAACTTGTGACCTTCTAACTCATTTTGTATGCAAGAATGGGAGATGCATTAGTAGGAAGTGGTACTGTGATTCAGGTAAGAGCCAGCTGTTCACTTAATAGTCTGTATATAGGACCATTCTGTATATTGATGACAAAGCAACTTTTATACCTAAGATTGGAATTTAGGATTCATAAAAAAAAAGCCTAATTGGTCTCAAATATAAAAGCAATCATGTTGAGATCAGATTTGCTGTGGGGCATGAATAGGAATGAATTATAAATATAATATTCAGTTACTTAAATTGTCATTTAAACATCAGATTAAATAAAACAATGAAAATATATTATTGGAGTTATTTTTGGTGTTCTAGAAAAGCAGTTATTCTCACAGTAGAGGACTGACTTAACTTGTGATAGGATGGGGGTGGGGGCTGGTAATTTTCTCCAATCATTCAAGGCTTAGACTATGTACTCCTTCAAGAAGTGAGCAATGTCCTGATTTACCTGAGGGTTTTTCAGATCCCTACCAAGGTGGGAATTCTGTGCATGTAGTGGAACAGTAGGCACATTTGTGACAACCTGTAACATTCGTGGTGTACTGACATAGTGCAAAGATACACCCATTCTGCTATACTCATAATTTTCATAATACTGTGATATGGTTGAAGGCAAATGAGGGCAAATGAATATGAAAATTATACCCACATAGATGCAAATAGTTGTTGCTTATGTCCCACCACATATATATGATTCCTAACTTGTTGAGCACATGCTAACTGGTTTCAAGATAACAAAATTTAAAATTCAAACTAAAATTGCTGTTTCTGTGAAAGGTATCCAAACTCCGTTTTCTATGTACAGCTGAAATAAGGCAAAAAATAAAACTATACTTTTTCTCCCCCAGATAATGATTGTGGTGATGGCAGTGATGAACTAGGCTGCACTCATTCATGCTTTGACAATCAGTTCAGATGTTCTAATGGCAGATGTATTCCAAGTCATTGGACTTGTGATGGTGATAATGATTGTGGAGATTTCAGTGATGAAACCCAAACAAACTGCACCAAGGAAGGTTGGTATGCACACACCCTGGTCTGCTAAGATGTGAAATACTTTACCGACTTTCCTGTTTATATTTTGGCAGGTGAATGCCCACAGAGTGCCAGATATTTTAGTTGCCCGCTTTCTGAACAATAACATAATAGTTTGGATCCAAACTCCCTTCTATGTGAGGAGAAAGACACTACTGCTTATGATCTTTTGGGTCCAAAATATTTTCTAAAATGTAAATGTATTGCTAAAAGTGCAGTGTCAGGTTCATGATCTTTATATTATGTTGTCCAGGGGTATTTTGCATATTAGTCCGAGTTTTCTAACCAGTGATCTAGCCAGTATGGGTATTATGTGCCATCAAGTTGCTTCCAATCTGGTGATCCTATGAATTAATGACATCCAAATATCCTATCATTGGCAGCCCTGCTTAGGTCTTGCAAACTGAAGGCCATGGCTTCCTTTATTGAGTCAATCCATCTCAAGTTAGGTCTTCCTTCTTCCTACTGACTTCAGCTTCTAGCATTATTGTCTTTTCGAGTGACTCTTGTCTTCTCATGATATGCCCAGAGTGTAATAGCCTCAGTTTGGTCATTATAGCTTCTAGGGAGAATTCACACTTGATTTGATCTAGAACCAACTTATTTGTTGTTTTTTTTACTCATCTATAGTATCTGTAAAACTCTTCACCAACACCACATTTCAAATGATTCACTTTTCTTCCTGTCAGTTTTCTTCAACCTCATTTTAAAATGTGGTTAAGTCTCTCTGGCTAAAGTATAATAATGTTACATGGTTAACTGTTAACAGTATTTTAGGTGCACCCTTATTTCTTGTACTGTAACTTCTTTCATTTTTGTGCTAGTTTATGCAGAGATCAGCTCATTTTTTCTTTGACTAGAAATTGCAATAACCTATTGTCTAGCAGGCCAGGTTAGCCTATGGAATTTATTTATTTATTTATTTATTTTACATTCAATTTATATACCGCTCTAACCCCGAAGGGTCTCTGAGTGGTTTACACACAATTTCAAATTCCTAACTAGGGCCACATTCTTATAGGGGGGTGACAGCCTACCGGCACCCAGGCAGCAGGGCTAGTTGTTCTTCGGCTCCTTCCGCGCGGGCTTCGGGTGTCGGTGTTCTGCCTCCTGGCGCCTTTGGGACAGGTCTTCCAGTCCAGCGGCATGTAGAGTTATTTCAGCTGAAAACTAAAAGTAAACATCTTTGTGTTTTGTTCATTAATAACTTGAATTGTGATTTATTATAAGTTATAATAAGTACATTTTGAAACTCATTGAAGATTTCTTTGTTTAAGATCTAATCGCATCTCTAAGCTTGTGGTCCTAAGGGCAGGTGGGTGGGGCTCAAGGAGGAGGCAGGATGGAGCAACACACAAGCTACAACCAAGTTGGGGTGAAACAGGCCACAGCTTTATTGATCACAGCAGTTGGAGCATTGATGTGGCATTGAGCATGGATCGAGGCATTGAGTGACCCACTTGCCAACTGATGAAACCCATTCCCCAGCCCACATGCTGCGTAAACCTGGAATGGCAAGACCAGTGGTCCCACATGGGTGCAAGCCTCTGCACGGCTCCCTTGTCATCTGTGGAAGGAGCCAAGCTACAGCTCCTGAGCTGAGCATGATGCTACTTGACTCTATCCCCAATACCTCTTAAGTGGGTCCCCACCTGGAGTAGGTGGGCACAAAGGAACAAACCCCCCCCCAATGGATCCAGCCCACTACCTAAAACTGCCCAAAGATGTGACAAGAAAAGAAATAACAAGAAGTACAACTGCACTACAAAACCAGACAACTGAGGGAAGGAGGGAGGGATGGCCGAAACTGCAACTGGGAAGGCCCTGAAGCCGTGTGGTCTTAAACAAGGGAGGGCAGGCCTGAGTGACCAAAGCCATCCCCCGGACCGTCCCCTGGCTGACGAGACAGTATGTTGTTAGCTGCTGCCAGATCAGTATGCCTGAAACTAAAGGGCAACTGCTACAGATTACTCAAATAGGAAACTGGATGGTTGGTCAAAGAATCAATATCAAGCGTTGATTCCTAAGCAAATTTTGGACATTCATGGACATGTGTTTACAATTTCAACAGCAGCATTGCCCATTTGTTTCACCAGCTATGAAGAGTTAATTAGTGACCATTGGGTTAATGCCATGGTAGCTACTTAGAATACTTTCCGAAGTCAAAGAAATGACTGGTGCTGAATTTCAAATAGACACCACAAGCCCAGTAGTGACAAGCACACAGCTAAACCAATATACTACTGTTATAGTGCAGAGTCACAAGGCCAGTTACAACTTAGTACTTTCTTCTGGCATATGGCAGAACGATAGCTGCTGCTTAAGATTCTTTGATGGAAAGAAAAATAAAACTAAGTTCCATGAAGGGACTATACTTCCATTATCTTCTAACCACTGAAGTACACTTGTCTGTTGCTGGAAAGACTAGTCTCTGGTATCAGAAGCAAATAGAGCTGAGAGGGCACCTGCTGTTTTTTGAAGTGCAGTCCTGCGGACAATTTAACATGCACTCATAAATTCAACATAAACTGATTACTGCAGTCATGGATGGCCACTGCTAGAAAGTTTGGAAACAAGCAAAAGCCATTTGTTTAAGCTGTAGTGCCCTGAAAATCATAATACTGTAATGATATATATTAGTATCAGCAGATACCCTAGCAATTGATTATTTTCTCAGAGTACCAACAGAGACTTTACATGCCAAAGTCTAGAATATCGACATATTTGAGTCCTGTATGGAATCTGATATGTGTATTGTTGAAGAATACTGTGAATCCCACCCCCCTAAAGCACTGCTTCCCCCTGGCTTTGAAACTCAGGGAAGTGATGGCTTTGAGCAAGTGTTACCTGAAATTGCCTTAAAATAATGTCACATAACAGCAGTATAAAACTTCAAAGAGGACTGAAAGCAATTACGTTGGTGAGTCTTGCAAAAGCTGAATTTGCAGCACCTTTCCCCCCCCCCTGTAAAATGTCCTTAGGTAGCCTTGGTGTTCTTACAGTCTTCCAGTACAATAAACAAGTTACTTCAGTGCAACAAATTTCTGATCATATTTCAGTCCAAGAGAGACACTGAGAAAAGGAAGCGAGTTATTTAAAAAGATGTTTCTAAATTTAAATTAAGCAACCTTTTAAACTACCAGAGTGATGGGCGGGGGGCAAGAATGAAATGTTGCAACCCTTGAATGAAAGCATGCTCGAAATATATTTTGCAGAGTAGAAGTAAGAAATTGGGGCCTTTTGATTAAGCCAGATGGATAAAGAAGAGGATGGCTGAGGTCTCAGACTTATTGCATGTTGCCTCCAGCTCTATCCCACTAGCCTCCATCTCTGGTAACCAGAGGAATGAAATGACTAGAAGTCAAGTAATAATTGGCTAGATCAGAAAATAACCTGTTTCTTTGCAATAGTTACATGACTTTCCAAAACAACAGAATGTCTTTAACAAAAGGTAAGGAAATAAAAACAGATTATGGACATACTATAAGGCTATACACACACACACACACACACATACTATAAGAAGACCCTGATGCTGGGAAAGACTGAAGGTCAAAGAAGACGGGGATGGCAAAGGATGAGATGGTTAGACAGTGTCATAGATGCAATGAACATGAAATTGAGCAAACTTCAGAGGACGGTGGAAGACAGGAAGGCCTAGCGTGATCTGGTCCATGGGGTCGCGAAGAGTCGGATTCAACTGTGCGACTGAACAACAAACAACATAAGGCAAGATTAATAACCAAAGGTATTGAGTCCATTTCATTAACTACCAGCTGTTTCCCCCCCTCACAATGCCTTTAGGTCCTCAGTTCTACTGTAGGGTCCTTGGCTAAATACAACTGCAGGCACCGAAACTGTCAATCACTCAGAAAAGTTGCTACTGGTGGAAGTCTAGGTGAAGATGTATTAGAAAACCACTGGTGGCCATCCATGATGGCATCTTTCATTATATCTGATCACAGTTCTCTCTGAGTAGGTCTTACTCTTCATTCCTGTTTTCTCTTTTCCAAGTTGCTGTAGATTCTGATGGTTCCCGTTCTGGAATAAAATTGTTCTTTCTCCTCTCTATAAATAAAATATTTTTAAAATTCTTATACACACATATATACATTTGGCTGGAGGTTTATATTCACAGGGTAGTTTATATACACACACTCATTTCAATTCGCTTTGTAAATTTGTCTTTGAAATATATTTGTAAATTTAATTCCACATCTTGACAATTCTGTTGACTGTAGATTAGTATGTCTGCTATATTGTCTTATACAAAACACTTTGATATAAGTGTGTGTGTCTAATTAACCAATATAATGCTTGCGCCACAGAATCCCATGAAGATCGCTGTTCTTACTATTTGAGCCCACACAAACTGAAGACCACTGTTGTTATTATTTGAGGTTACTACTTGATACAGCATGCTTTAAAAGTTCCAGGAAATGCATCATCAAACAGTAGCTACATTTCTAATGGAGACATTTATATTACTGGAGGCTGACCAAACATGAAGAATAACATTGATAGTGGGTTGGATCCATTGCCTTTTGCAAACAGTTTAACTGCTACTGACTATCAAGGGGCGCTCCAACATGTAGTTGAAGCAAGGAAGCCAAAATTGTCTTCCTCATTTGTCCATGAATGCAGCAAGCTCATGCAAGAGTGGGTGTATGACTCCTGACAAGTGAGGGTTGCCGAGGAAAGGGAAACCAATTAATAGTCTAGAATAATTGGATCAATATCTGTCTAATGCTGATTTCAGGTATGAGACTGGGGCAGGAGCAGGCTGTTTGCTTGTTTTGCGCATTTCAGTACTGCTGTTTCTGTGAAAGGACAGACAGGATCAAAGAACTGATGACACAGAACATGATCCATCATATCTCTTCCATGACTTTAATCCAGTGTTTGGAAAGGGACAACTAATGAGGAAAAAACACCTAATTTAGTTGTTTAATTTATTGTTTTGCATTAGAAACAGTCTCTCTTGGAGGATGCAGTGGGAAAGAATTTCAGTGTCACCCTGATGGAAACTGCATTCCTGTGTTATGGTGCTGTGATGGTGAAAAGGATTGTGAAGACGGCAGTGATGAAAAATATTGCAATGGAACTCTTCGCCCATGTGATGAAAAAACAAAATTCTCTTGCAAGACCACAGGTACCCTGGGGTGTAATATTTTGTGCAGAGTTTAAACCCCGTGATTTTATCGTTTGAATTACAGCCTAATCCCAAATCATGCCTTGGGTTCTGGAGCAGAAAAATGTATTGCTGGATTTCTGTGTTCAGAAGAGTTGGTCAAACTCTTGAGCTGCCTTAGGACTGATGTATAAGCTTCCTCCACTAGTGACAGAAGAAAAGATCACTTCAAGAATTCTAAAATGCAACATAATGTTTTGGTGCAGGTGCATTTTTGCTTTGCTATATGAGTATTGCAACATGGGGTTCATTCATTTATTTAAGCTTTTATATGCCATTTTTCCTCCCAGTGGGGACCCAAAGCAGCTTTCACTATAAAAATATAGTGTAGACAAATAGAAGACAAAAGGCTTTGTAGTTCAGGACATTCTCTCTCCCTCCCTCCCTCTCCCTCTCTCCACCCCCCACCACCAGCAGATCTCTCCTCCCTTCAGCTCCAGGTTACAGCCCTCAGACTTAGAGCCAAAGACTTGTGCCTCAAGGACAGGTCATGTTTTTAAAATGTTGCATGCAGGAAATCTGCAGGGCTGAGGCTCAGCTACAAGGGTTTACAGATGCTGGGTGGTGTTTCATCCCTCTGTCACACTTCTGGGCTAGCTTAGTCTTATCTGCAAGGAAGGGGTGAGAAGAAGCTCAGCTACAGGAGCTTGGAGAAGCTGGCTGCTGTTCCGGCCCCCTCCACTCAGCATATTACTTAAGCTATTGTGAGACAAATCTCTTTTCCTTCCATATGTGTCATGATATTGTGGACTACATGCTGGAATATTCTCTGGGTTTACAAACGTGGCATGGTTCCATCTCCATATAGAGGAGGAGAAGTTTTCAACATTGGCAGTGACATAGAGCATAAATGGGGCAATCACATATGCATGGGATATATGTAACATTCCTATGGTTCTATTATTAATTGGTAGACTGCTGGATTGCAGACACTTCCAGTTTGTAAATTTCATTGCTGAAGAAAGAAAGTTCCCAGTATGTTCTGACAGAATCACGTGAAATAGTTATTTGTAAATTCCAAATGTCTTATTGAAGACAGAACACTCATTCTAATTTGGAAAAGAAAATAATTGGTCTATATCTCAGGTTCAGTGCTGCTTGTTTTGTTAGAAGATATATGCCTACTTCCTGGCCACTGGTCTGTATATTTATTCCCCTCATCACCATCTCCAGTAAACACATAAGTAGGACTAGATAGAATTATTTCATTCCAATTGGTAAGACATCTTCTGCAGATTGGCAGTGCCTGATATTGTGCTCTAACTCTCTCCTCATATCCAATAGAGAATTTCACTAATTAGTTTTGGAAATAGTTCAAGCAATTTGCTGTTGCTGCAGCTTTCCAGTCCATTCTGCAGTGTTTAATAGAAGCCAGCAGTAGACCTTGGCCCTTTACTCTTTCTGTTCTTCACTGAATTTTTTTCCCTCTGACTCAGAAGTAATCTACACATTCACTCCCTCCACATCCTTTCCTCCTTTTAGCCTTCCTTAGTGCACACTGCTATGTTAACTGTAATTTTAGCTAATAGAAAACTATGTTTAATTGACTTGGATTTAATCAATCAGTAGTGAGGCTCATTCAGAATAGATCTTCAGACAAGCTGATTAGAAACTGCTTTGAGAATAGTTTGATTTTATAGCACAAAACTCAGGCTGCAGTCACACGGAGCATTAGCCACGCTACAGAGACGGAAGATAGACGGATTTTCCAGGTGCGATCACACCGCAACATCTGGGACGTGTAGAGCTCCCATGTCTCACAATCTGTACAAATTCTAAAATTTCTAAAAGCAAGATGACTATCCCTGACCATCCCGTTCTCGCCCATAATGCAGCAACTAGATGTGCATGCCCCATCTTGATGTCCATATATGGGGGATAAATGGTAGCTAGTGCGATGGTGGTGCACTAGTGCACTAATAATGGACTGCTGGTGGACTAGTGGTGGCGGCTCCTATTCAAAAGCCTGGCGGAAGAGCTCCGTCTTGCAGGCCCTGCGGAACTGTGCTAGGTCCCGCAGACCATGCCACTTCTTTGCCACGCCGCAGGATTGTCGTGTGATTGGCACCTCCCCCTGAACCACGGGACGTTGGCGAGACGTGTGATCCGGCGGCCGCGTGTTAGTTTGCTCCAGGGCAAACACCCACGCTTCCCCCCACATTTTCCAGCCCATGTGATCGGGGCCTCAGTAGAGCTTGTTCTCAAGTAAACTTGCACCGGATTGCACTTCACCCTAAGTCCTCAGTCCTATAAATCCTTAGTAAGGAGTGTCCCTTTGCATGTAGCTGAATTTACTTCCAAGTGCATATGCTGTAGGTCATCCACTTATGGAAGCTGATTAAATGCTTCCTTCCTTGCAGTGAACCTGAAGGTAGCCAGAGTGTTTCTGTTTCTGTTGCATGGTGGTGCCTTTCTGATAGATTTGACCACCTTATCTCCCAGTCACATGTGTGTGCCTTTCCTTCAAACTTTTGTTTGTTTGTTTGATGACAGGGATCCTTGGGCCGGGGGGGGGCAGAATTTTGAACATAAATTAATTTAATGTTACTTTGATGCAACCAGCATCTAAGACCAAATAGAAACAAACTTTGAAAGTGCATATATTTGAATGAAACCCAGCTTGAAATCCAAGGGCTTAATCTTAACTGAGCTGTGAATTAGTGTTAGTATGATCAAAGTCCTACCATGTCATGTTTCAAAATAAGAAGAAACTGTCCACCACCACCACCACCCGGTGTAGGGTCCCTAGTGTGGATTTCTGCTAATAGAAGGTGGGAAAGTGTATCAAGAACAAACTGCCTGTATAAATTCCATAATTTAAAGCCAAAAGAATAGCAACATATTACTGCTGCTCCCCAACTAGGACAAACAAAATTGGCATGGTTGAATCTGAGGAAATATAGGGGTGGGATTCGGAAACATCCCAAGATAAGCAAGTAGAATTGAGGCACTCATATATTGTGTGACTGATAACTGTATTAATGGATGTGTTCTAGATTAATTTGCTACTGCGCAATGAAAAGAAGGTCAATTTTCTTTAAATTGTGTTGTAATCATAACAACCTTCGCTATACAAAACATTTTTGCTAGCCCAGTGATCTCTCTGTGTTGGATACTTAGCCGAGTAAAGCAATGTAGCACATGTGCATTTAGTTTTAAGAAAAGTTTACTGAAGAATCACAGAGAAGGGTCCTTGTCAATGTAACAGACAACATGTAACATCCTCAATATACTAATTAACCAATAGCAGTTCCCAAACTTATCTTATTATAAATAACGTATCTTTCCCTGGTGGGAAATACTTGCCTAATACCTAATTGGTTCTAATCCTAACTAACTGCTGTATTTACAGTTTCTGTCCAGCAGGGGTCAGGCAAGCCAGCTTGTAGAGTAAGCAACATGCCATTTCTAGAATACTCCTGTTAAGACACTCAGCTGCGCCATTTTGATGAGGAGAATAAGTCACAGTTGTATCATGCCTTCTTCCTCCAGGAACCTTTGGAATTCCCTGCTACAGTACTCTGTCCCATTGAGTGTAAACAGGACCTCTGGAGCCTCACTGAACTTATTTCTCACAGCAGCAACATAGTTCTTAAATTTCTTCAGTACCTGATCTTTAGAACTGATCAGATACACATAAACAAAATGATGTCCAGTGTCCATAAAAGCCAATATGTACATTTCCTCCAACTGAAGGATTTAAGGGACCATCTAAGTCTGAGTAAACTTTCTCCAGCAGTCTCTCATTGTACACATTCTGCTGTTTGCTGTAGTTGGGTGCTGTCCCCCTTTTTGAAAGGTAGATATCACAACGAGCTTGCATTTGGTCACATTCAGTCACTTGAACTTTGCAATTCTGCAACAGCCTCTCAGGAAACTTAATATTTCTGTGGGCCAGCCTCTTGTGCCACCCTAATATACAGTCAGAATTAAGACATTTCTGCTGATTAGTATGATATGCTTGATCAGTAAAACTATTCAGATCGTAAAATCCACCAGTCTTTTCTGCCAGTATTTCATTGTTGCCTTCAGGATGAAAAATACTACACACATTGTCCTCAGTGAGGAAACAATTTCCTTGATTCACAGTTCTATAAATAGACAACAATTTCAGATCAGCCTGTGGTGCATAAACACAGTCCTTTAAAAGAATTTCAACCATCTCTCCTTCAGTACTGGAAATTCTCAGTTTCACAACTCCAATTCCTTGAGTTAGCAAAGGACTGCCATCAGCTTGAATTAAAGTTTGCCTTTTGCTTATCATGATAGACATTAGAATAGGATCAAGAATCTAGCAACCAGCAGTCTTTGACATTTAAATCCTTTCCAGCAACAACATGTGTATTATGTTTCCAGGGTTTTCTGTCCTTTTGACTCTCATCTCTCTGACCACTAGAAATTTCCCTTGCTCTGAAAAACTTTGCAACATGTCCTTTCTTTTGGCAATTAAAACACACAACATTTTCTTTTCCATGCTTTAGTTTCAAAGCAGACATTCCTCCTGCAGTTTCTGAAACAGATCTCTTTATAGCTGTGTCTCTGAGAAAACTCAGCATATAAACCACGACCACTCTTTCTCTTGACTCCAGAACAGCAATTTGATTTGCATATGAACTGGGAAAGCTATTCAGAATCTGATGGCATTAACTCAATTCCCACAGCGCACAACTCTGCAACAAGGCACATAAGGCTTTCTAGATGCACACGCACACATTACCTCTTTCATGTAGCCTCACATAATCCAATTTCCTTCTTAAAAACGGCATGTTTTGTCTCTGTGTTGTGCATATTTCTGTTCCAATTTAGCCCAAATATCTTTGGCAGTTTTACAGCTGGCTACCAGAGGGGTTTCTTCACAGAAATAGAATAGAATTTAGAATTATGAAATGTGCTTTCATATCATCCTTTTAAAAGTATCCTGTTCTCCTGCACTTGTAAGCTGCTCTGAGATTGTAAACCGT